TAGGTTGAGATATATTGCGAGAGCCGTCGTATGCAATTACTCCCTATCACCGTCATGGCATTTGACTCTTAAGCATGAGAAAAGTATAGACTCTTTTATTAATTAATAATTGCTTTGATTTGTTCGGCGGATTCTTCGGGATCCTTAGACCGACACTTTGGGTAGTTATGTAATTAATAGTTAGAGGGTTATATTTTCAATATTTGTATCATTGCTACTTGTATTTATTTTGTATTGATTATGGTTGATCACAAAGTAAATTCGAAGGCTTTCGTGTGTTTTTAGACAAAATGATTTATTATATATTTATTTATTTAAATTATTATTTTTGTCAAACAAATGTTTTATTGTGATCGAGCCAGAAATAATCAGAGGTACCAAAATAGATATATTAATTAAGTAGTCGGATTGATGGCTTTATTTATCCGATAACTAATTATGCATAGAGGGGTCAAAGTGCAATATTGACTTAGAGGTTATTTATTATTTAATTGGAGTTCAATTAATTTCTTTTAGTGGAGTAGAAATTAATTTATGAATTAATTGAATTGGGTCCATGGACCGGGCCAATTATTAATTCATTGTAGCCAATAAAATAATAGGCCCAATGGATTCTCACTCATAGCCCAACTTGATATTGGAATCATATTAGATTTGACACATATGAATTAGAGATGGAGAAGGATTTGTTGTTTCTTTTTCTTTATTTTTATGTTGCCTATAAATATACATGGTCTATGTATATTTTAGGGGGTGATTTTTAATGAGAAAAAAAAGGAATATATTTTCTCTCTCTAGAAAATTAGGGTTTATGTTCTCATCTAATGGAGGCTCCCACAAGCCTAGTTTTCCAAGGTCATTCATGGAGGGTTATGAGTGATTCCTAAAGGCAAAACAATTACCAAGAAGATAGAGATCCATAGAAAAGGTGTCTAGTAAAAGGGATCTACAATAAGTGAGAACATTCACTTTAGAGGAGAGATCTAAGGTTTACTCAAACCTTGATGTAAGTATTCAATCTTTTAATTGAATGATACATCATGTTTTATTTTTGCATAAAACTTGTCTCTATGTGATGAATCAAGATCTATGAATTTAAATCCCTCGAAAAGTTTTTAAAACTAGCACGTTTCCCAACAGAATCATGATCTATACCCTAGGTACCAGGTCATGACCAATCCGATTGCAAACCAGCGAACATTACCCAGGGAACCAATGCCTATAAATACAGATATTAAGGCAACATTAAAAAGCGGAGTGAAAACAAACATAAACTCCCAAAGAAGTAAGGATCTGTCATAGAAACAAACATCTATACCTTCACCATAAATCAAACTGAAATAAAAGATGGACTATAATGTAAGTGGGTTAGCTTTGGATTTTTGTTTTTTTAATTGTCAATGATTGTTGTTCGTCGCTAATGGTGGCACTAATGTGGCGATGTGAGATTTAAGTAGCAGTACTTTTGGGCAACAATGATCGATTCGAGTTCAGATTTAATAGAATGCGTATCTAGTTTTTTAAAAGGATGATGTTGATGAAGAAATTTTTTTACACAAAAAATGAATGTATGTCCCAAACCTCGATCGACACACTTCTATGTTAGGAGAATTAGGAAATGAGCTCTTTTATCATTTTAATTTATTGAAATATACATGAAACACGAGAGCATAAAAAGCGAGAATACTTTTAGAGTGTGAATAGTATCATTTAACATAAAAGGTAATCCAATAATGTAATACGTACAAAGATATATATATATATATATATATATATATATATATATATATATATATATAACGCAAGAAAAAACACTTTACGCAATATATAGAAAAAGTGAACCTCATTTATTTGTAAGAGTGTGTTCATGCCTCGGAAGCACGGATATGCTGTTAGAGGTGTCATGACAGTGTCAAACACGTGTCGGATTCGGACACGTCGACGATATGGCTAAATACGTGTTGAATACAACTAGAGACGTGTCGGATATAACTAGAAGTATTCACAATTTTAAGTGATTGTTTTATTGAGACAGACACTACTGAATATATAACGACTACATAACAGGTCAATTTGTGAAAATTTAAAAAAAAAAAAAAAAAAAAAAAAGGCTTAGCTCAAATTTTAAAATTTTAGGGGTAAAAATGTAAAAATAAAAATTAGGTTTAAAATCCCAACAATAAGACAGTCATATTCATTTACTGAAAAAAAAAAAAAAAAAAAAAAATCGTATTCACACATAATATATGTTCTTTTGCCTAAAGTTTTGTTCTCAATTCTCATGTCAAAATATAAGCCAAATCATCAAGAATGTGTATGTTATTATTGTGAAATTGAAAAAGTTATTTTTTGGGTATAATACTATGTTTTTATTTATTTATTTTAACGTATTATTGTAGTGACTTTTTTTCTTTTTTCTTTTTTCTTTTAAAATTTCTCATATCATCGTGTTCGTATAATGTTATATTTATTTTTCATGTTCTTTCTAAAATTGTACTTAAGAGGAGAATTAATTGATAACATGATGACACACGAGTAGGAGAATTTTTTTTTTTCTTTAGAATATATATATCAACCCCACAACACACCAGTGGAAGAATATAAGTTGTGAATGACAATGCCGATGAATGAAATCTTTCTCATACTTTATTATTCGGTAGCGTTAGTGGAGTAGTTTGAAGCACCTGAGCTTTGTATCTTATATTATTATTATTATTTTATAAAAAAATAAAAAGAGTAAATCTTTAATTTCCAAAAATGGCATGTTGGCTAATAATAAGAGTAATGACGTTGCATTAGGAGAGATCCTCCGGATAAAGCACAATAAATTTTATTTAATTTAAATAATTTGATCCTAAACTCAAATTTAGAGTAATAAAAGCACACCACTCGGAATCTCTCTTTTAATGTGTATTTTCTAATTATATAGCCCCTTACATTCTTATCTTTTAAAAAATAATTAATACGTGGATTTGGCTTAAACCAGTATTACATTAATTATAATGGAGTCCACAACAATGAGACAGACAATCTTAAACAAAATACTCACATGAGTCCACAATTACATGAGACATTTAGACTTAAATTAAGTACTCACATTAATTACAATGGAGTCCACAACTATGTGAGACACTTGATGTGAAAAATCTCTCAAAATTGTATATTTTGTATTTGTTTATTGATTTTCTAGATAAGTTTTACTAGAAATTGTGTAAAACAAGAAGCTTTTTTTAAGGGTTTCTAAGGAGATCTGATCCTTGCATCAGATGTTTCGATCAGTTGCAATATGTTATTTCTATATTCTTCTTTATAAGAAGAATATTGTGACAATCTACCGTTAAATTTTATTGGGAATTAAAGAAAACAAAAGAGAAAAAGACTAATTTTTTCAATCATCTGCTGCAAAAGGTCGGACAAACGTGGCAAAATCATTTACTATTACCACTTGAGCAGAAAAACTTAAGTTAAAATAATCAAATTAAGTCAAATTTTACACCACCGAATTATATATTGGTATCTTATCCCAAGAAAAATAAAGCGAAGTGGTTGAGTTGCTTCTCGTGTTCGGGAGTTCATGTTTGTGTTTTGCACCGTCCCTCTTCCTTCTAACCACTAACTCTTAACATTCTTGTCATAAAAAATAAAATAAAATAAAAAATAAATTCCACTTACCTCTCCTAAGGTTTTTTAATATCCAACATAGACCTCTTGGTTTCATAGTCTCACTTATATTCCCTAAGATTATAGTTTATGTTACATACTTCCACCCCTAAGGTTGTAGTTTATGTTATATATTTTTGCTGCAGTTAGGACACATAATTTACTGATGCGATAATAAAAAATAGATAGAAGGTCGGTTTTGTCCTTCTAATATCTAAAATAACAGTGAATATTTTATAAATAAAAGGATAAAATAACATTATATCGTTATTAAGTTAGACGGTCGTTATTGATAAAAAAAAATAAGTAAAATAATAAAATCAAAAGAGGTCTATATAGAACATTAATAAACCCTAGGTAGGTAAGTGAAATTTATATAAAAGCAAATGCTTTTGAAAACATAAGTTAAAACTTGGCAACACCAGATGTTTTATGCGTCATGTATATATACCGTTTGGTTTTTAATTTCACAAGAAAAAATAAGTCAAATTGTACTTTATTACACCCTTCACGTTTCTAGCTATAAGGGAAGTCACACGCGCGTGCGCGAGTTTGAAAAACCAGCGTGGCGGACATCTCGAACATGGTTTTTTAAAGACTGGTCTGGACCCCACTTTTTTCTATCTAGACTTTTCTCACTCCCCATACATTTTCTCTCTCTGTATGCATTTTGGTCAGAAGTTTAGACACATATAGAGAAGAAGAGAGAGTTTGAAGAATTTCATGGAGGCCACTGAAACCAGTGTGTGAAAGATTCCTCCCCTAAACAGCCCTTTTTTAGGGTTTCGATTTCTTCAACGAATCGAGACTTGAAAATTTTAAAATTAAAAAAAGCCAACGCCCATTAACTAACGTGCGCCATTGGAGACATCGTAAGTCAGCTCCAAGTAAACTTGTAAAGCACCAATTTATTTTATTTTATTTTGGCATGGTATATTTTATTTTTATCATATAGCATATAATCACTCTGTGTTATCTCTCTCTACAGATCCCGATAATATATATTTACATATATATACATAGAGGTACAGCTTCACAAATCTGAAACTCAGTAGCAGTATCTGTGGTTCTATATACTCCCTCTCTCTCACTGTGCTACTGTCAAATTTAAAAAGAAGATTACCTTTTTATCCGTACTTGGGTTCCATTTTCTCAGATAGATAGATAGAGAAAGTGTGAGAGGGAGAGGAGAGAGAGTCAACTCTGTCTTTTTCTCTACCTTGGTAGTATATATTTGTAAGATATTGGAAAGTCTTCAAATCTAGACCATCCGAAAAATCATCATCACAAAAAATCATCATAACAAAATAGTCTTATATATATATATATATATATATATATGCATATATATTATGTGTATGATCTAAAGCGTTTTAGCCTTTTTGCTTCCTTTTTCCTCTGCCATTCTTGTACCCTTTCGTTTTCTTCCCCTTGGGGGTTTTTCCCAGTTATGTCAGCTTAACAATCAAACAGACACCGCTGAATAGAAACCAGGGTTTTTACATTTTCTTAGAAAGAGAAACTAGAGAGAGGGGGAGAGAGAGAGAGAGAGGGGGGGTTTGAGCGGCAATAAGGGTTTTTGGTTGTATTCTACCAACCCGTTTGGTTGTTCTTAAATTTTGTGGGTTTTGGTTGGTGGGTCGAGGTCATCAAGTTTTTATGAGTGGGTTAGGTTGTGGCAAGAAATTGAATCGGTGAATGCTAGCCATGGTGCTGTTCTCAGAGTTCTACATCAATCTGAAAACTAGTTGGGTTGTCAAAGAGAGAGACAATCTGTTGAGACCTATTTTGAAAGTGAAAGTGATTTGGTTTTAGAATTTTTTTTGTTATATTACTTTTAAGTTAGTATTACAAAGAGAAAGGGGTGTAATTTCATTTTCGTATTAATTTGATGAGTTTTGGGGGTTTCATTAGCGGTGGTGGCGGTGTTAGTGATAGTAATGGGGGTGTAAGAAATTTGACGGATGCACCTTACAGCAACTCCATCCCCATTGCTGCTTCCATGGCTCAGCCACAACTGCTCAATCCACCTATTGCCCAGCCAGTATTCAACTCTCCAGCCCTCACTCTTGCCCTTGTATGCATCATAGCTATCTCCCTATATCTATCTATCTATCTATATATATATATATATATATTTATATGATTGTGTAAATATGTATGTTAAAGTTCATTTCCACCAATGTATCTGTTAATTTGCAAGGTACTGTTTTATTTAGTAGGTGGTGGTTGTTATTTGTGGTCTTGATTGGGGTTTTTGTGCAGAAACCAAAGATGGAGGGTCATGGTGAGATGGGACTGATGGGGGAAAATTTTGACCCTAGTGTACTGGGGAGGATCAGGGAAGATGGGTATGAAAGTAGGTCTGGCAGTGACAACTTGGAAGGCGGATCGGGGGATGAGCAGGAGGTGGGAGGCGATACACCGGGGAGGAAGAAGAGATACCATCGACACACCCCCTATCAAATTCAGCAGCTTGAAGCGTAATTTTGCCACATTTATACTGCAAATTATTGTACATTGTATCATTAATCACTAACATTGAGGGATTTGCTGATAAAAATTATATTTTCAATGTTGTTATAGTTTCTTTAAAGAGAATCCTCACCCTGATGAGAAAGCAAGGTTGGAAATCGGCAGGAAGCTAACCTTGGAGAGCAAGCAAGTCAAGTTTTGGTTTCAAAATCGCCGAACTCAAATGAAGGTAATCTGGTATATAGGTTTACTTTGTTCATTCTTTATTTTTCTGGCAAAAATTAATTTTGGTCTATGGAGGAACTGGTGCTGAATTTAATTAACTGAATCAGACCCAATTGGAGCGCCATGAGAATGTAATTCTTAGACAAGAAAATAATAAGCTCCGAATTGAGAATATTGCAATTAAGGATGCCATGAGGAGCCCAATTTGCAGCAGTTGTGGTGGCCCGGCAGTTCTGGGCGAAATATCTATTGAGGAGCACCAACTTAGAATTGAGAACGCCCGGCTAAAAGATGAACTAAATCGGATCTGTTCCTTAGCAAACAAGTTCGTGGGAGGGCCATTATCATCCTTATCTGGCTCCATCCCTTCTTCACTGGCAAACTCTTCTTTGGAACTTGCCATCGGAAGACATGGCTTTGGTAGTTTAAACTCAGTAGACACCACGCTGCCAATGGGACTCGATTTTGGAAATGGTGTTTCAAATTCTTTGCCTGTGATGCCTTCAACCAGACCAATCATGGGTACAACCGGTGTCGACATACCATTTGAGAAATCCATGTTTATGGAGCTTGCATTGGCCTCCATGGATGAGTTAGTAAAGTTGTCTCAGATTGATTATCCCCTCTGGGTCAGAAGCCTGAATGGAGGTAGGGAAGCATTAAATTATGAGGAGTACATGCGGGCATTTCCTCCTTGCATTGGCATGAAAGCAAGTGGTTTTATAACTGATGCTACAAGGGCAACTGGTGTAGTAATCAGCAATAGCTTGGCCATTGTGGAAACATTGATGGATGCAGTAAGTTGTTCAACCCTTTGCGTAATCATCGTTTTTAAGATTTTTGTCGAATTATTTCTTTGCTTAGATTTTTATATGGTTATATATTATCTTACCATACGTTTACATTTTGGAAAATCTACAATCTTACCATACATGCAGTATTTACAGTCTAATATATTTATTGCATTGTCTGTATCTATTTCCATTATTGTCGAGAAGCTTTGGTCAATGGCTGCAAATGTTTTTCTTAGTTATTCACTATATTGAATGTTGAATTGGTAAAATGCTTGATGTCTACTTTTTGGAAAATGATATAGCATCCGAAAGTCGGACATACCCAACTGTTTTATGTGAGTGGGGATGATATAATCGTGATGGCTTACGTCATCCCTCACTCACATAAATGCAGTTGGAGTCTGATTTTCGGACGCTGTATCATGACTCTTACTTTTTTAAAAGTAATTTTGTGTACTTGATTTCCTTTATGCGCAGAATAGATGGGCGGAAACTTTCTCCTGTTTGATTGGTAGAACCTCTACTATTGATGTGATTTCCAGTGGCATGACCGGAACCAGAAGCGGTGCTCTGCAACTGGTATTTTTTACCTGTCCCAACCCACCACCCTCCCCATCACCCCCCCCTCCCCCCCCCCCCCCCCCCTCCCCTTCAAAAAATAATTATAAATAAATAAATTAAATAAATAAAAGTTAATGAAGATCCTACTCTGTAGATGCATGCAGAGCTGCAAGTTCTTTCACCACTGGTACCTGCCCGTCAACTGAAGTTTATCCGCTTTTGCAAGCAGCACGCAGAGGGGGTTTGGGCTGTAGTTGATGTGTCTGTTGACACTATCCAAGAAGGTTCAAATGCACGCCCGTCAATGAATTGCAGGAGGCTTCCTTCTGGCTGTATTGTTCAAGATATGTCTAATGGCTATTCCAAGGTAGTTACTGGTGTAAACCCTTTATTTGTTCACTTTTACCTTTCCATGCAATGTTTACTAGTTTTTCTAACATTTATTGACGATACCCATGTCGGAAATTTTCTCCCTTTGAGTCTTTAATGAGATTGTTGTAAAAACTGCAATTTTGAGCTTATTGGGAAACTATGGAGGTGAGGTTATTGTCATTTGAACTTTAGCCCTCCTTGGCTTGTTCTTCCGGAAATTTATTTTGCTTTATTACTCACCAAAACTGCAATATAAATGATGGGATTTTTCTTAATCAAATATAGTAGGACTTTACCTAAGAATCTGAACCTTCTTTTATTATTTTACTGATACAGATGGCCCTTCAGTATAAACTATTCTGTAAGCATAAAAAATTCAAAACTGCTAGGTTTTACTCTCTAGTCTCTACTTAAATATCATAAGATAGGGTATACACATTATAATATTAGTGCAAACCTTTACTTCTCAATCTTCAATGTGTTAAAATCATAATTTTATTTGAAGATAAAAGCCTTGGAATTTCCATCTTCTGTTGTATAAATTATAATTTGATGCTTCTATTCTCTCTCTCTCCCCCTCTCTCTAAAATGTTGTTTATCATACACGAGGCTGTTTGACCTCGTTACAGCTTGTATAGTACTCTTTTTATCTTTAAATTATGTGAAATTTTTAACTCTATATCTTAATATTTGTAACAATGTTATCAAGTTTTATGAATGCACTTGTTTCATAATTGAATGGGAATTGTTTTCTTCTTATCTTGGTATGTCCCCTTTATGTTTGATTTCATATTTTTTCCTTCTCATTGAGCCTGTATTTTGCGAGATTTACGTACATTTATCTTTGGTTTTTTTAATCCCTCCCTTAGTATCTAATATTAAAGTTGTTTAAAATCTCTCTCTCTCTCTCTCTCTCTCTCTGTATGTGTCTCTCTCTCCTGGCCATAATATTCCTAATCATTCCTTCTGGACAAACACATTGAGTAAATATTTCTCTTACATAAAAATCAAGAAAAGGGCTTTATAGTAAACAGGCACGGTGGGTCACCTGGGTGTGTACTTGGGTTTGGCCTTCCTAGTATTGGTAATAATCAAGTCGAAATTTGTTGGCAAATTTAACTATTTTAGAAGTTCTCTGGAGATTTCTGAAATGCTCTACAGCTGCCTTCATGGAATAGACCTTTTAGTAGGTAACTGAATAGCTCTTTTTCCCCAATAAGTAGTAATTAATGGTGTTCATATAAGTCGCCCAGTTATTGACTAGAAGTTAAATTGCAGATTACCTGGGTTGAACATTGGGAATATGATGAAAGTGCCGTCCACCATCTCTACCGGCCATTACTCAGCTCTGGCATGGGCTTTGGTGCACAAAGGTGGATTGCCACACTACAACGACAATGCGAGTGCTTGGCAGTCCTTTTGTCCTCTACTGTTCCTGGTGAAGATCAGACAGGTGTTTCCTTTGTTACATCATTACTTTCTACTTATCTGATAAAAGTGAATTGGGTTCTAATACAATCCTTGAATGACAGCTATTACTCCAAGTGGTAGGAGAAGCATCGTGAAGCTGGCACAGCGCATGACTCGTAACTTCTATGCTGGGGTGTGTGCAACTGTTCACAATTGGGAGGTGCTCCAAGTTGGAAATGTGAGTGAAGATGCAAAATTGATGACACGTAAGAATGTGGATGACCCTGGTGAGCCTCCTGGGGTCGTGTTGAGTGCCACAATGTCTGTTTGGATGCCTGTATCCAGGCAGCGTCTGTTTGATTTCTTGCGAAACGAACAGCTGAGGAACGAGTGGGACATTTTATCCCATGGTGGGCCAATGCAAGAAATGATCCACATTGCCAAGGGCCAGGATCGCGGGAACTCTGTTTCTCTTGTTCGTGCTAGTGTGAGTAGTTATCTACTTTATCATATTATTTATTCCTGGCACTATTGATAATGATTGAGACTGTTTTCTTACTTCTTTGTGACTTCTAATTCTTCTTCATGCGGCCTTACAGTCTGTTCCCGGCAATGCAAACCAGAGCAGCATGCTGATATTGCAAGAGACATGGACAGATGCATCAGGTTCACTCATAACTTACGCACCAGTTGACATACCAGCAATGCAGGTCGTCATAAATGGGGGAGATTCTACCTGTGTGGCTCTTTTGCCATCAGGATTTGCAATTGTTCCTGATGGTTTTCCTGATTCTAGTGGGCCTAACAACTGCAATGGGACTGTGGCCATGGAAGGTAGTGGCGGCAGCGGTGGGTCCCTACTGACCGTGGGGTTCCAAATATTGGTGAATAACCTTCCTTCATCCAAGCTCACAATGGAATCAGTTGAAACCGTGAACGATCTAATCTCTCAGCAAATTCAGAAAATCAAAGCTGCCCTTCGCTGCAATTAACGCGGGAGTAATTGGTAACCGTGCTGCATAGCTCAATCAATTTATGTTTCTATTTTGGAAAATAATACTATAAATCAGATGGATATGTAAAAGGCAACGGAGGGAAAGGCATATAGCTTGAGATGAAAATTCGCACAAAAGGGGATTCGAGTCAAGAACGAACCGTGATGAATCCTTGCTGGTTGTTGAGTACACAACATGATTTTGATTGATTCACGAGGGATTGTGTTGTTTACTTAGCACCGGGAAAAGGGTAGTGGTTCGGGTATTGACTCGATGGACCTGCCCGATCAACTCAGCTCTGAATAGTCAATTTGTTTTTGTTGGTTGTTTTATCATTTAGAGAGGAAAAACTGAATAGTCAATTTGTTTTTTTGTTGTTGGTTTATCATTTGGAGAGGGAAAACTTAAGTTCATGCAACTCGGGGACTTTCTATCTTGCATGCATAGTTGTTAATATTTTCCTTCTCGACTGTTATTTTGCTTAGTAGTTATGTTTTGAATAATTGAAATTTCACCTCACATGTTCATCTTTCTTCTGTTTTTTCCCATTTCATATTTTGTTGCGTCTCTGTAACTTTTACCCCGCGTGAGGGTTTCTAATTTCTGTGATTCCTTTTTGTGGTCTTTATTATAATCCTGCATGGATTGTCACGGAGATAAGTAGGGGTGTATTTGGCTCGAAAGGAATAGGAGATTCTTTGAAGGAAAGGCGTTGTCGATTTCGGTGCTTAAATTATCGATTATTTTCACTCTTTTTTGTTGAGTTTCAGGAAGAGATCATAGATTGTTGGAGAAAATTGTTGACTTTTTGGCCTCTTTGAAGGCTTGAGGCCTTTGTGGTATTTTGTATTTTCTCGGGTTCCGCTCTCCTTTTGAGCGTTTTTTTATAAAATGTTTATTTATCAAAAAATAAATAAATAAACAGAATAATAATATTTCACGATTTAGTTTGTTCGACTCCATTGCTTTGAAGATTTGATTTGGTTCTATTTTTATGGAATTGTTGGGACGGGTTTGGTTTCAAAAGATTCCTAAATCGGTCCAATCCTAATTGTGTGTCTTTTTTATATACATATATGTGTTTATATGTATATATAATTATATATAAGGGGTGGGAATGTGGGACTCAGGCTGGTTGCACGGGTAAAGAGTTTGATCATGCCAGACTTAAGGTAGTAACACCTTAGTCTACTTCAGTTGAAGTTTCAAAGAATCCATTGTATATCGACCTGTGTCAACCATACAAGGTTCTCAGGTTTAAAACGACTCAAAAGTTTAATTATAATTCTACTAATTTTTTTTTAAGCTGACTACCGATAATTTTATGTCATCAAAGAATAAATCATTAAATTTTAATTATATTTTATATGTAGTCTTAAACATTTTTTTTTTTTTTCTAAGAAAAAAAATCCTTGTGTTTAAGGTTACTCGAGTTGGTTAATAAAACTTTTGCTCATAATATATTTGGGTTCCAGATTTAAACTCAATGTCAATCCGGTCCATCCAAGTCCTACCCCGGATATGTATATAGATCTCCATTGGATGCATTAGAATGAGAGACTGATAAACCATTCAACTTTTAACCTATTTTATAAATACACTGTAGCCTTAAGTATATAAAAATTACTATGAACTTTTTTTTTCCCCGCGTTTTTAGGTTACCGTTGGTTGGTAAATTTTTTTGCCCAAATCTGGCTCAAAATAAATTTGGACTCTACATATAAACTGAGTGTCAATTCTGTAATCTCAAACACCTTGTCCAGAGCAAAATTTTAGGCTTACTGCAGCTATCATGTTTAGTTGGAGATCTTCACTGGGGCTACAAAGATTGACCAACAAAGCAAACAATATGGGTTATTAATTGGCTAGGTTATTAGCTTGGAGGTTTATTTTTTCTGATAATGGGTTGGGTCATGTAGTTGGAGGCAGACAGGGAACTTTTTATTTTACAGTTGAAGGTGGGTACGTAATTGCCCTTCTTCGCATGGTTCTCACTTGTCTAACAACCAAAGTTTTCCACTTTAGCCCACACAACTTCAAACCTTAATGCTGTGTTTAGGAAGGAAAGGCACAAATTTTCTTCGTTCGGTAGAGAGATGATATAAGGAAAGAAAGAATAATAAGAAGACTGACTCATCATTCCTCCTTCACAAATTTTCATTCGTTCAAATATGGGCGGAAAATAAGACGGAAGATAAGTGAATCTATTATAGAAGTTTTAAATTACTACATCATCCTTCATAAATATTTAATAATCTCATAAATAAAGTAAGAGATGTGTTTAATGGTAAAAATAGTTTTTTTCATTCTCTTTCATCCAACAGAACAAAAAAAAAAGGAAACATTCAATTTCTTCCTTAGAAATATTTCAATCATCTTTTATTATCTCCCTTCCGTTTAATTTTTTTCCTTCCCACGTAACAGGGCATAAGTTCTTCCGTTTAATTTTTTCCTTCCCACGTAACAGGGCATAAGTTGATACATACTTTTTTATCCTTTCCAATTTATCGTCTAACTTTATCTTCCCACATCTGCCAACCACGTAATAATTTGTCTACAAATATCATAGAGCCAGCTAGTAGGTCCATTTGCTTACCTCTTCATGATCTATATATATGTGTGTGCGCGCGCGTCTGCGATGGCATTGATTCTTGTTGGTTACTTGTTGCCAATCTCAATGAGCTTCAGGAATTGTCATATCAGTCAAGAGCCCACCCTTTTAACTTACGTTATGTTTGGCTGGAAAGAAAAATAGGAGGGGAAGGAAGGAACAGAGCGAGAAGGGAAAAAAAGAGCAACTAATTTTCATTTGTGTGAGTAATGCTCTCAAGAAAATATAATTTTTTAAGGTTTGTAATAATTCAAGTGAATCTTTAAATATATTTTTTAATTTATGAATTAAAATGGAGAACTTCAAAAATGAAAACTCTCTTGAGAACATTACTCCTTAGGTTCCCATCTGTTTTTTTATTAATGAATTTCTTAATAAAAAATGGGGTTTGATCATCAAGAAGATACTTGAGGTTATTGATCACATGGACATTCATTGTATTGGGACCACTAAAAAAAAATGTACTCCAATTTAAAGTGTGTACTGAATTGGGTAGAGTAGTTTCATATTGATCTCAATCCTCGGTAGCCTGTACTAAAAAAAACAGCTAGTGCACGGGAATCTAGTCTGATGAAGTGTGGGCCGCCAATTGGTAGTATTGCGTGAAGGAGAGGTTGACACACAGCAATTGAGGGCACATGATTCGGAGTAAAATATTGGCTGCATTATGTACACCACAATATCCGTCCAATCAAATATAACATTATTATCTCGTTGTCAACTATTTTATAAATAAGTGAGTTAATTTTAATCGAGTTAATTTTGTCATAAATGTATTAATAGGGTCAAATATGAATACGAACACGATACATTTAGTTAACGGGTCAATCCATATCAATACGATTACGACATGAACACAATCGATTAGCCTAAACCCAAACCCTCTTATCTCGTCTCGTGTTAACGTGTTGTGTCAAATATTACCACCCCCGCTCACATGCTCCTTAACGTGTCGGATCATAACTCCATCACCACGTCCCCATACACCATCAGTGATAATCACGTGCTCATACGCGCGCACTCAACTTGTCGAATCTTCACAATTGTAATCACGTGCTTCCCAAAGTGTCATCAACATGCTGAATCTTTCACAAATGCGTCACCCATGCACCCCCGGTGCCTCAAGTTCTTCGAGCTCCATCACTAGCTTTCATGATCTTGTCTCTAAAATCAAACTGGTTTTATCTAACCCACTTTGAATTTGAGGGAGACCATTAGAATATTTATTAGGAAACCTTTGAATTATTGCCCTTTTGCAATTAATCTCATTGAACTAAAAATTGCCTACATGGACTATTAATTTGTTGCAATTAAGGACAAACACGTCGCAAAAGATTATTTTACCCTTTCTCATTGAAATTTCTATTTCTTATGAAATTATTTTTACTATCTTTTCTTTTATCTAAATATTAATTATACTATTTACCTTAATTTTATTATTAGTATCAATTTATCATAAAAATGAAAAAACAAAATTTTGTAACTACCATTTAATAAAATGATTAACTTATTATTAAAATTTTATTATTTATAATAAAACTTAATATATCCGGTTTAAACTTTTTACAGTAGAAAAATACCTTTTTTTCATACAATATATTGATGAAAAATTAATAAATAACTTAAATAAAAAAAAAATACATTTTTTCATTTAATATATTCATACAAAATTAAGAAACTAATTAAATTATTTTAAAATTTTCTACTTGAGATTTTTATTTAAACAATTAGTTAAAAAAATTATACAAATTTAATAAAGAATATGTCATCAAATTAGTATGATTTTTTTTTCATAATTTATTTCAATAAGAAAAATATATTAAGTGTAATTCAAAAGGGTTATTTGATGAAATATAATCTAAGCTTTGGGGCATTTTGTAACAAAATGTGATAATTCAAAAAATATTATGCACAAAATATAATTCAGATGATTATTTGCGAATTCAAACATAGTGCTAAGAATTTTTTTTTTTGGCACTTCACCTATTTATTATATCACTTACCTACTATAAAAAATTTCTTATTCACTGCACTACTACATTTTATAATACTCATCTACCCGGTCTGCTTTTATTGCTCTAGTCTTTAAATAGGTTCGTTATGTAATACAATTTTATGTAATTCAATGATATAATTCTTTTATTTCTAACAGTAAAGATGAGGAATAAGACGGTCCCAACAAAATTTTACTTGTTAATAAAGAGTAGCTAAATTCAAATAGTTGAAAAGTATCATTAATTGTAGTGAAATTCACCAAATTGCAAATAATTTTCATCCATTAATTGTAGTGAAATTCACCAAATTGCAAATAATTTTGATCCTTGGATGAAAATTGAAAAGATGATCATAATATTCTCTTACGTTTTTAGGAGTAGGTGAATTTCACCACTAATGTTCTATAAATAGTGAAATTTTATCTCTAAATATATATAAACAAAATTTTACTGTAGTATCCAAGTTCAAATAAGTGAAATTTTACAATAAATAATGTAATGTTTTTAACTTTATATATATATATATATATATATATATATATATATATATATATATATTAAAGTTAAATAAAATGTTATTCACCTGTGGGGCCCACATAATTAATAAGCCAATATAATGACTTATTGCTTCTTCTCTGCGTATCAGCTTCTCTCTCATTCCAGAAGCTCTTTGCGTTTTTTTTTTTTTTTCTTTTTATGGTTTCAAGCTTCAAGGCTTAATTTCTCTCTCAATTCTTGGCAGATTTAGGTGCCGTTTGAGGCAAAACGAAGCCCACGACGAGCTCTACGCATCCATACGAACAATTCCAGATTTGGTGCCCTTCTTGGAGTTCGAAATTCAAGACCCATTTTAAGGGTTTTGTGCAATCTTGAGGTAGGGACCCTTAACTCATGATGTTCTTGCTCTTTTGTGAATTATACCTCCTAAATTATTGAAAAGCATGCTTATTTTTGAATTAATTGTATTAAAGATGATGTAAGTGTTATATGTGAGGTTATGATTAAATGTGTTACTTGAGTTGTATGAGAACATGTTTATTTAACTAATTTCCTTGTCTGATAAATTGATTTACCATACTTATATTGTTGTAAAACTTGCTAGAATGATATGGGATGGCATGTGTAATTTCCCTAGAGTACTTGTAATGTATGCACAATTGTATAATGTGAAAGTCTTCACTTCCATGGCATTAAGAACATGATGTACATGCATACCATGAGACATGATTGGGAAGATTGTTTTTGAAATGAAAATAGGGAGTTTTAGGGAAAAGTATTTTGATAAAAGTGTTTTTGAAAAACCCGGTCGCCGCCGCGGGGGTACCAAAGGGCCGGAGTATTAATATAGCCTAGAGGGGATTAGGGAGTCGCCCTAGCGTGGTTGAGCTAGCTGGGCCCCATAATGACGCCGCGGGGTTACCAAGGGTCAGGGACATTAGCCAATCCTTCTCTCGTGTCGCTGCGGGGTCACCAAAGGGCGGGTTATATTAACAGTTTGAAAGTGATAGATTTTAAATGTGAAAACGGGGAGCGACATCGGCATGCATTCGCATTTCATGGCATTGCATTGTTTGTACTTGAGTTTGATTGGAATGTTGTATTATCCCGATATTTGGATTCACGGGGACACAAGATGCGTGTCTTAAGTGTCACCTACTGAGCATATAGCTCACCCTGCATACTTATTATTTTTTTCAGGTCATGGCAAAGAAACGACGGATGACAATCCTCCACAAACTTGAAAGTTGTTAGGAGGTTGTTTGCTATTTTGTATTTTGACCATTCTATGTATATTCATAGTTGTGGAAATGTAACTAAGTCAGTATTCATGGCCTTGTAATTTAAGAACGAACTTATCTTTTGTTTAATGTAAATGAAACTAATGGAATCATGGTGTATATTTCCATGTAATTGTATCATGTAACGTTGTAAGACATGGATTTTAGATCTTAACCATGTATTTTGGGACTGTAATTATGATAATTTGGATTAGTTGGTGTGTGCATGTTCTACTATGAGAGGAACTATGTTGAGGTGTGATGAATGGGATGCTGGAGTATATTTTTTTGTTTTGTATACTGGGATAGGTTGTTGAAGGACCACTTTTAGGGGAGGTCATGTCGAAATTTTTGTATAAATGGTTTTAGTTTAGGGTCGTTACAAATAAAGAGTATCGAGATTCAAATAAGTGAAATTTATTATCAATTTTCTCGCGATATTTTTTTTTTTGTTACGATGGGTGAATTACACTACTAATGTTATAATGGTAAAATTTACTTGTTAATAAAGAGTAGCTAAATTCAAATAGGTGAAAATTATCATTAATTATAGTAAATTCACCAAATTGCAAATAATTTTGATCCTCCGATGAAAATTTAAAAAATGATCAAAATCTTCTCTTACGTTTTTCGGTTAGGTGAATTTCGCCACTAATGTTTTATAAATGGTGAAAATTTACCTATAAATATATAAATAAAATTTTACTGTAAATAAGGAGTATCAAAATTTAAATAAGTTAAATTCACCGACTTGCAGAACGAACGTGACAGATAATTTTGATATTTGGATGAGCATTGAGAAAGTTACGAGGAGTGATTATGAGTGTCACAGGCTAATATCACCAACAAATCATATGCATTCATACTTGAGACTGAAGTAGAATTGACTCCATTTAACTGTCCTGATCTGACAAACAGGTCGTGTCCCTATTCCCTCGTGTTCAACTTAAATGCGTTGAAAGTCGTATCTTAATTTTGCAGCAATGAGGCAGTGTTGTGTGGGACAACCTTATCATTTATAGCCCAGAAACAAATCCCAGTCCACAGGTGATTCCCGGTGGGCCCATCAGTTTTCAGGGGCAGTTTGGTCATAATCACAAATTACAAATTTCAATCACCTTTTAACTCATAATATCGGTTGGAGGAGGAAAATTTATCAAAATAACCGATTTCTTATTCAAATTTTAAAAAGTATAGGGTAATATTTAGGTCCTTCCTAATAAGTATTTATATCATTCTCATTGTTGAATTGTTGACGTGAGTTAATAATAAACGGGCATGTCATATTTAATTACTAAATTTAATAAAATAAGTAAATGCCCACACACCAAATCAAATATGATAATTTGATTACTAATTTAATAATTAAAATAAAATATATTCATTTTTATTGATTCACATCCATCTGTCAGTATTATGTTGACTTAAATATTGTTCAAAATGATATATATAGTTTGACTTATGGACCATTATTTACGGGCCTCACTTACCATGAAATGGTCAAATTAGGCACAATTACGAACCTGTATCACGATAATTTATCACTTTGACTAAGAATTAAATAAGAATTACATCAACTCCTAACTAATTTTTGAAAAATAATATATAGTCGAACTTATAAACCAAAAAATATAAAATGACACATAAGAAAGACACGTAAAAATTTGGTGTTGAGACGTGGAACTGTTGACAACATCCCTAAGTTTATAATCTAGGGTGGGCCTAAAGCAGCCCTGCCTAGGGTAATTCCTGATGCCAAAAAAAAAAGAAAAAAAAAGAAAAAAGAAAACACACACCTAAGAAATGATAAAATGACAAAATGGAAGAGTGAAAAATAAAATTCTCATGGTATTTCTCGAAACTCTCTTGCAAGAAAGACACGTAAAAAATGATAAAATCACAAAATTGATCCTTGAGTTTTTTATTTTTATTATAATTTTTTTTATTAACCATATAAATTTAAATATTTTTGTTCCTTGTTTTTTTGGACAGAAATTTGAATATTTTTGTTGATTCACTTTACATCCGATTACTTTCAATTTCTAGTATTATTCTCTTTCTAATTAAATAAAATCCAAATACCAATTAATGTGTTTGGTAGGATGTTAATTCACACTTTGAAGTTGATACGGTAAATCATGTAAGTACCCATTAAATTAAATTTTCTTTAATTTTATATTTTTTTAATAATTAGAAGTTAAAAATCGTTGTAACGTTTTGAAGTTTGAAAATATGACATATTTTTAGAATTAAAGGTCTACTAGTACACCGCTTAGACTACTTTACATTGAGAAAAAGGACAAAAAAAGAAAAAAAAAGTAGCACCCACATGCCACATCAAGCCTTTTAATTTCTAACCCAAATCCAAATTTCAACCTCCACCGGCCCCTCTCTCTCTTCTTTGTTCTTCCATTTCCAATTTTTTCTGTGTGTTTTTGAAAATTGTTTATCGACAGTTGACCTAATGTTCCTGCAGGCATAGACACAGAAATAGATTTAGAGAGAGAAAGGGAAGAGGAGGTTTAGAGAGAGAAGACTTGTAGAGATGGGGAATTCCTTCGGGTGCTCGGCGTCGGGAGAGAGGCTGGTGTCGGCGGCGAGGGACGGCGATTTTGTGGAAGCCAAGATGTTGCTTGATTGCAACCCTTGCCTTGCCAAGTACTCCACATTCGGTGGCCTCAACTCTCCTCTCCACTTCGCCGCCGCTAAAGGCCACAACGAGGTTTTCCATTTTCACATTCTGTCCCCCACCCCCACCCCACCCCACCCAAACAAACCCATTACTTTTGATCCTTTTGATTATTATATGCGTATATATGGGTGTGTGTGTAATACGTTTTATTTATTTAATTTGTTTTATTTATTTAATTTGGTGTATAGATCGTGGCCCTGTTACTCGAGAATGGAGCTGATGTGAATTCCAGAAATTACTGTGGCCAGGTAAAACATTTTCATTTTTTTCCTTTTTGGGTGTGGATCTTGATGCTTTTCTCTTCTGGGTCTATTCCTTTTAGCTTGATTGCTTAGGATATGGATTTGATTGTGTGGATTTGAACTTGGATTCCATAATTTTTGCGAGATCAACTGGGTTCTGTGTTTGATTGTGTAACTGTGTATATTCAAAGTAATTAGAGTTAGAAATCTTATTTGAACCTAATTGTTGAATTGATGTGAAATTGTATTTGAAGACGGCATTGATGCAAGCGTGTCGATATGGGCACTGGGAAATTGTGCAGACCCTTTTGCTCTTCAGATGTAATGTAAGTTTTACTTCTAATATCTTTTTTATTTTTTATTTATTGTTATTTTTATTTTTAATTATATGCCTTGTCAAACTGTGAGCTCCATTGAAACTTGATCCTTTTATCTCTTTGGATGAAAGGCATCTTAATACCACTGGTTAACAAGCCCAGTTGTTGGTTTGTAGCCATTTATTTCTTGTTGTATTCTGAGGGAGTTTACAAGATTTAGTGAATTTTACTTTCTATTTTTGAAATCTTCTGCGCCATTCAGGTGATAAGAGCAGACTATCTAAGTGGGAGGACAGCTCTTCATTTTGCGGCAGTGAACGGCCATGTTAGATGTATAAGACTCGTGGTGGCTGATTTTGTTCCAAGTACTCCTTTTGAATCTATAAATGCTCAAGCTGTTGGTGGTAGAGGTGATGGTTCCAATACGAGAAACAAATATGATCAAAGGTGGGTGATTTATCTGTCATTTATTTTTTAAAAACACAGTATATTCATTATATATTAATATGTTCGATAGCAGAAAATAAATTAAGTTGATACTTGATAGTGAGTTAGCATTAATTAAATTGTGTTGATTGTGAAACGAAGACCAATAATGTCCCCCTTGAAATGGATGATGGGTAAATTTTGAAGGTGCTGCAACGGTAAGTAGAAGACTGAAAGGAATGTGGATTGAGGTAGTGAGAAAATGCACCTCAGGGTGTTGCTTAAAGGGAAATATAGCCTTAAATAGAAGAAACAATTGATAGATTTTGTGGAAATGCTATGTTGATCTTACATTTGGAACATAAACCTCCTGTTTTTATATATGAATTCGAGCTTATGAAAAATACCTACTGAATTTGAGCATATGAAAAATTGTTGCCCGACCATGGGTGCAATGTGACTTCCTTCTCTGGGCAGTATTGTGATTAGATATTGAAAATACACTGTTTCCTAAAAGAAGAAGCTATAACAAGTTGTAATGCCCAATGGCAGTGACTTAAGATAATATAAAATCACTAAATATATACGTGCCAAAATACTAAGATCATTCTGGTCTTCTCTTTATAAATTTTATTCTAATGCAGTGCGCTGTCCAAGTTTGTAAATAAGGCGGCTGATGGTGGTATCACTGCTCTTCATATGGCTGCTTTGAATGGATATTTTGATTGTGTACAGCTCTTACTTGATCTACATGCAAATGTATCAGCTGTGACATTTCATTATGGAACGTCAATGGATTTGATAGGTAAGTGTGTGACTTGTATAGTTGGTCTTCAGTTTCCTCACTTGTGTAATTTGTAAGTAAAATTAATGAATCACTTTGTAGGAGCTGGAAGCACTCCTCTGCACTATGCAGCTTGTGGGGGAAATTTGAAATGCTGTCAGGTGAGTGTATGCTATAGTTTTATGATTCGCTGAAATTTGCAAGTTCTTTATAGTTTGATGTAATGATGTTCTTTTATCTGCAGATCCTCCTAGCAAGAGGTGCCAGTCGATTGACATTAAACTGCAATGGGTAATAAACTGTGAATGGGTTCTCTTGGTATTCAGCCTTTGGTTGCTTCATATAGCTATTACTGCCTCTCTTCACGCATTATGCTTATTGGAAATTTGTACATTCTTTCAGGTGGCTTCCTCTTGATGTTGCCAGGATGTGGGGGCGTCATTGGCTTGAGCCACTGCTGGCACCTAATTCTGACTCAACGATACCAGTGTTTCCTCCTTCTAATTATTTATCCTTGCCTCTCATAAGTGTACTTAATATAGCAAGGTATCTGCAACTTAATCTTATTAAGACGTGAAAGTAAAGTATTATTTTTGCTACCTTACACTGATTTTTGAGATGTATGATCTTATTAACGGAATAGTTTAAAGTAGTGCTATTACATATTGCGTTTATCAATAAAAATGTAAGCTATAAGAAAGATTTGTTTGTGACTGTGACAAAGACGGACCAGGAAAGCTAATAAAATTAGTATATAAAGAAATTAAATAGGAAAACAATAAGAAGGAAAGCAACAATAGAGCATTTTCCAGGAAGGGTGAGAAAATATATAAGATCATATGGCAGTTTCCAGTTACGTACATGGGGAAGGTAACACGACAAAATGTACTTGATTTTTAATGTAAGTAGTTCCAACCCTTCAAAAGAACTCATATTCTTCTTGTTCCAATTTTCCAAACACTTTACCAAGCAAAGAGGTGTTGCTCTAGAAACATCTCTGTACTTCATGTTCATTCTGCATTGCTTTCAGCTATTAATGACCTTGATAACTGAATTAGGCATGAGTGATGCATGACCATTTTTTGGTAAGGACTTAGGTATGACCCGCTTAGTCTCAATGAGAGATACTGTAGCTTAGGCATCAGTGGCCATTGGGCAATGGGTTTGTATATGATTTACCATCTCTATATCACCTGTGCACATGCAACACTAATTGGATATGATCTTTGCCTCTTTAATAAACTATCAGAAGTCAAATTCTTCTTGAAAGCGCAACTGTCCAACCAAAGAAAGCAACCTTAGAGGGAGCTTTCATGTGCTAAATTGCCGTCAAAGGGAATCAGGAGAGCCCCCTTCGTTTATGAATCCTATTGTTTGATCACACCTCAAGCTATCCTCTCTTTGAAGCCACCCGCCTCGTATAATCCTTGGTTCTCCATTGGAAAGAGAGAACATACAGCATTAGATTAGAACCTATCCACCAACGTTGCAGTGCCCAAGCTGAAAAGGGTCCAAAGCAACTTCTCCCTGCAACAACTGCCTCCTTAGTCCTTGTCCACTGTGGTTGATCTGTAAGAGTCAATTCAGGGGGCCACTCCACAATGATATTTCGTTTGCTCATGCGTAATGCATTTTTAGAGACACACTTTGTCGGACACCGAATCACCTCTCAGCCTTCTAGAGTGTCCTTATGAGTATATAAATGTACCATTTAAGTTTTTTCTGCAACTAGGCCATTTACAATGGTAGTATTCCCTTTACAGAAAATTTAATTTCTAAAGCTTAGGGAAAAATAAAAGATTTGAAGTTTTTGGTTTTTTGTAACGACGCTCATCCAGTGGGCCTAAGAAGTAAAAAGTCAGAAATAACAGTCCCAATTTCTTAAAAAGAAATTTGAAATAACAAGTTTCTTATATTGGTGGAAAGCACATGTTACATGACGTACTAATTGCAGCTAGGTTATATCACCCTATGTGAATAGTGGATCAGTGCTTGCTTCCTCCCAACCCACTCACACACCAATCCACCCAAACATCATAATAATTTGTCATCCTGTCACTGACCTTTTGTTTCTATTGGAGTTTGATACATCTCCTCTAGCTTTCCTTTATTATAATTGTTTTTCTGTTTCAACACTGACATATCTCATCTAGATTTTCTTAATTACTGTTGCTTTTTTGGTTTTACACTGCGTTGTTGTTTCCTGAGCTTTCATATTTCTCTTTTAACATTAAAAACATTGGAATGTTGCAAGACCAAATTTACGCTTGATACGCTATGTTAAGTTAAATGCATCATGATTTGTATCTGTCAGCATAATAGTGTATTGCATTATATCAATACTTAGGTGTTGTTTGACAAATTTGAAAATTAATTCTCAAAAGTTTAAGTCCTGAATAAATATATATATATATTTTCTTAGTTGATACTCACACACCTATGCCTTCACTGAGGCTTGAACCCTTGACCTCCCTTTGAGAAGTAGGGGCTTGGTACCGCTGGGCACTAGCTGTTGGTTTTGTCCTGAATATTAAGTGTTGAATTTCAAGTATTAATTATAAATTAAGAATTTTTTATATTTTAAAAATTTTAAGTATTCATTGTTCAGAAATAAGTAACGAGACTAATGATTCAGGATATTTATATGAATACACAAAGTAGAGTTTGCATATATGTGGTGAGACTAGGAATTTTCTATAAAAGTAAAATTACACCAAGGAGACATTACAAGACTTAGAAGGAGACATTAATTGTAGATGAAATCACAAAAGACTTGCAAGGGGACATTCCAATTTCCGTGGTGCATGTTGTTTGTTGATGATATAGTGCTATTGGATTTTTTAAAGAAAAACTTAGCAATAAAATTAGAAATGTGGATAAATGCATTAGAATCAAAAGGTTTAAAAATTAGTAGGGCTGAAACTGATATGAAATCTAAATTTAATAAAGAATCAAATATTGATAATATAATGATTACAATTCAGAACCAAAGAAAAATATTATAATTCAATTTTTGATGTCGTGGCTCAATAATACAGAAGGATGACAATGTTATTAGTAGAATTGGATCATTTTGGACAAATGGAGATTAGACTATTGGTGTTCTATGCGATAAAAAAAAATTAATAACAAAAAAGTTAAATTTATTTATTTATTTATTTTTATAGAACTGTTATCAGACCAACTATTTATATGGAGTTAAGTGATGGGCCTTGAAATAGAACAACGAATTCTTGTAGCTGAAATGAGGATGTTAAGATGGATGGTAGGAGTGACTAGAAGAGATAAGGTCACTAATTAAAGTATGGGGAGAAATTAGAAGTGGCACTTATTGGTAATAAAATAAGAGAAATTAACATGGGATGCGCCCATAAGAAGAGGAAGACTAATTTGTATAGAGGGTAGGGGAGAGAGTCACCAAAATTAACATGGGTTGAAATTATTAAAAAGTTAAATATTTTTTTTTTTTGATAAGTAATAATAACATAAAAAGGCGTTGAATAAGGGAACGCGTCCATTTTACAAAAATGGAACCTGGACTAAGGCCCCAAAGAATCCAAAAAAATAATTAAATCATCAGAAGAAGAGCAAGAACTCCTCTTCACATGATTGAATAGAGAACAAAGAATGTGATGTTTCACCATTGCTGTAAATGACTCTTTATCTTCAAATATTCTACTATTTCTCTCCTTCCAAATACACCACCAGACACAATGTGGGATAACTCTCCAGAAATCGCGTACATCCCTTCTCACGCGACAACCTCTCCATTCAAGAATCAATTCCTTAGTAGATCATGGCATTACCCAACACATGCCAAACAACCCAACAATAAGATTCCAACAGTCATTCGCCACAGGGCAATGCATAAGGAGGTGGTCAACAGACTCCCCATCTTTCTTGCATAGACAACACCGATTAACAATACAATTGCCCCGTTTCATTAAATTATCAATTGTCTAAATCTTTCCCCAAATAGTGGTCCAAACAAAGAAAGCCACCTTAGTTGGAGCCATGGATCGCTAAATAGTTTTTCACGGGAAAACATAATTAACAAAATGAGACAGACATAAGAATAGGGATCTTACTTCGAAACGACCATGGGAAGAAGGAACCCAAATCAAATCATCATTTCCTCTGCCAACACCCTCCTGCCGATACAGAAGATCCAAAAAAACACATACCTCATCTATCTCCCAATCCTGAAAAGAGCGCCGAAAGTGCACATCTCACGTAATCCCACTGCTATCAAGACGATAACAATCAGCTACAAAGGCGTGTTTATCAACTACAATACTAAATAATCTAAGAAATGAATGAGATAGTGGTTGATCACCACACCAAAGATCTTCCCAAAACCGAACGCGACATCCATCACAAACTTTGAATCTGATATGAGCAGAAAAGGCATCCCAACCGTTCTGAATAGACTTCCACATCCCTACTCCTCCCACAAGAGTAACCGGACGTGTAGACCAGCCTCCATCTTCTTCCCCAAACTGACAGGAAACTAACCTGCGCCAAGGATGGTGTCTTTCCCTTCCATATTTCCATAACCATTTACCTAGGAGGGCTTGATTGAAAGGAACTATTCGTCTTATGCCACTTCCACCCAATTTCACAGGCTTGCAAACTTGTTCCCATCTGACAAGGTGATACTTAAACTCATCTCCCCTTCCTCCCCATAGAAAATTACTTTGAATTTTTTTCAATCCTATCCGCAATGGAATAAGGGATTTGGAACATAGAAAGAAAATAAGTGGGAAGACTTGATTACGTACTCTTAATAAGAGCAACTTTACCCCCCTTGGACAAATATTGCTTTTGTCATCCTGCTAATCTCTTCGCATACCTGTCAATCACTGCCCAACTCCTCACTATCCTGGAAGAGACCCTTAAGGGCAACCCCAAATAAGGAATAGGAAAAGAACCCACCCTGCATCTAAGAACTGCAGCAAACGAGGAGATATCTTGAACATTCCCTACTGGGACAAACACACTCTTAGCCACATTGACCTTTAGCCCGGAGACCGCCTGAAAACAAGTTAGGATGCATCTCAAATAACGAAGTTGAGACACATCAGCATCACAGAAAACCAGGGTATCGTCTGCGAAAAGTAAATGAGAAATCTCCATCTGATGGGCTAAGTCTCTACCCACTCTGAAACCCTTAATAAAGCCAAGGTCCTCTGCCCTGCGCATAAGTCTGCTTAATCCCTCTATGACAACAAGAAAGAGGAAAAATGACAAAGGATCGCCTTGTCTTATGCCCAGGGTGCAACCAAAGAAACCAGCAGGAGAGCCATTCACAAGAATAGAAAACTTGACAGATGAAAGACAAGTCTCGATCCACTTCCTCCATTTGCTTCCAAACCCCATTCTTTGTAACAAATAGAGTAAGAAATTCCAATTCACCTGTTCGTATGTTTTCTCAATATCAAGTTTGCATAAAACTCCAGGAATACTGCTTTACAATCTGGAATCCACACATTCGCCAGCAATAAGAACTGAATCAAGAATTTGTCTCCCCCAACAAAGGCATTCTTGGAGTCCGAAATAATCCCATCCATTACTTTCTTCATCCTTAGAGCAAGCACCTTAGCAATAAGTTTGTAAATACAACCCACCAAACTAATTGGACGGAAATCCTTAATATCAGAAGCGCCTCCTTTCTTGGGGATAAGGGCAATGAATGAAGCATTAAGCGACTTCTCAAAGACGCCAGAAGAATGAAATTCCTGAAAAGTACCCATTACCTCATGTTTTACTATCGCCCTGCTTTCCAACAAAAAACGCATAGTAATACCATCAGGCCTCGGAGCTTTGTCCCCATTATAACTTGATAAAGCCTTTAGAACTTCTTCTTCAGTAAAAGGATTCTCAATCCTATCTCTATCCAGCTCAGATAAAGCCTCAAAATGGAGACTGGTCTCCAAGCTAAAGGTTCGGTGTAAAGCTTATGATAAAAAGAAGCAATCCTGTTACGCACCTCCTCCTCTGTTCACACCTTCCACCCGAATTCTTCCAATATGATTACTCCCCCTATGAGCGTTAGCTAATCTGTGGAAGAATTTTGTGTTCCTATCCCCTTCTTTTAGCCAAAGAGCTTGAGATTTTTGTCTCCACGAGATCTCCTTCATACAAACAATCTCAGGAAGAACCGCCTGACAAGAGACTCTCCTAGAACGTAGAGACTCCACATCCCCACCCGCCTCCTCAAGACGGTCAATCTCGGAAAAATCAGCAAGGACTCTATTCTTCCTCCATTCCAGATTCCCGAAAACATCCTTGTTCCACTGCTGAAGAGCGAATTTGAGAGCTCTTAACTTCTTTGTTATTATGAAACTGGGCGATCCTGAAACAATGACTCACTCCCACCAAGATCTGACTTGCTCTTGGAAATCCTCTGCACGTAGCCACATATTATAGGAGATGACTTGTAATGGAAAAAGAGAATTCATGTATACAGATACGATACATCAATTTTTATTTATTTATTAATTTTTATTTTAATTTTTTTTTTTATAGAAAGGATATGGATATGACAAGATGCTTTTTTTTTTTAATAAGTATATACAATGTTATCAAAGGCCCAAGGCGCTAGAGGCCATTTGGAGCCTAGGCGCAAGGTGAGGCGTGCGCATGAGTAAAGCGAGACACGCAATGGAAAAATTAAATTACTATTACAGCATATTCATATTCCATATTAGAGGCGCAAATGTTGCCGAAGGCGCACCTGGGTACGCAACAGGCGCAACACTTAGCGCCTGTGTGAGCCTGGAGCCTAGGCGCGCCTTTAGCAACACTGGTATTACAAGATACGAGTTACACGACAAAGATAATAATAATATATTATGTTTTTATACATAAAAAAAAAATAATATTTTTTTATTAGTTTTCCATAACATTATGAATATAAATGTAATCACCAATATATTAATTAATAAAGAGCCTCTTAGATGGGGAAAAAAAGATCCCCAACTCTAGAACATGAATGACCCAAATTAATAAATCCCTTAGTAGAAACCAGATCTCCCTTTTTCTCTCTATTTCTCTCCCCCTCACTGCATTGATGAGTGTTGATTAGTAACGATTTTGGTTTCTAAGTCCTTTTTGTTTTATTTTCTTTTAAACAATGAACTTTTTATTATTACAATTTCCCTCGTTTTTTTTCTTTTTTTTTTTTTTTAATATATAAAAATTGTTTGATTTTGCCCGACCATATCCCAGAAGCATCCTGGCATTTTCTAGAAGTATCCTACCGTATCCAATTTTAAATGCATTTTAAAATTTTAGATACTTCCAAGCTTTATCAAACACGTAGTCGTCGCGTATCCGTGTCGGATATGTATCCAATTTGGCCATGGCGACACTGGGTAGGTTTCCTTGTTGCAACCGTGTCATAGGTATTGGTATTACCCGTTGGTTTGGACGAATTATCCCATTTTTGTATAAAAGAGTCGTATCCAACAAGCCAAATCAAATCTAGCCGCTAAGGCTAGCCAGGTTGCATTCGGATACGTATCCAACACGGCCATGGCGACCCTAAGGAAGTCTCCGTGCTTCCTATGGCCGATCCCATTCATATGGGAATGATGATTATGATAATGATGGTGAGTGTTCAGTGATGACTAAAGTCTTCATCACTAAAAATTGTACTCTATTTTAAGTGACGCTTATTCTTTTAGGTGGTTTTTTACGTTATAAAACACACTTAGTTAATTAAATGCTTATCTATTCAGAGTTAATTAAATGCTTATCTATTCAGAATCAAGTACTGAATTGGGTTATCAGGTAGCATCTTAATATCATGTCCTTGTCTTGAATTCTTCGAACCACATGGTAAAGTGGGATCCCATTTTTGATACTTCAACTTTGAGTTGAATCTGTCTTTGGAATTCAAAATTTTATTGTGAAAGTTATCAAAGGTTAACTTGTGAAAAAGGTTTAGGACTTCTTGTTTAGTTACACTTTGCTCACTTGTGCTTAAATCAATTAGTGGAAGTTTATTAAAGTGTATGATAAGTTTTCAATAACAGGTGAAGACTTTCCATTAAGTTATACTTCTCTAACTTAGTGGAATTGTCGATAATCTTTTTTGGAAGTTTCACATGATTGTGCTCCTTAAGCATGATGAAATTGCATGTTCATCACTTGACCTGAATGATTAGAATTTTGGCGCGGAGGGAAACATATGTGTGTGTGTTCAAATTGAAATAGTACATTGTCTATAAATACCCTCACTGAAATGATATCTTGTAACCATTGTTTCCAGAGAGTGTGGGTTGCAGTCAACAACCTGCTCTGATGACACTGAAATTTGTGCTGTTTGCCTGGAGAGAGCATGTACAGTAGCTGCTGAAGGTCAGTGTGATTCTCTGTCTATATTCTTCCTTTTAAAGTTTCAGGTTTTGCCTAGTAAATTACATTTTACTGGCTGGTATCGCTTAATTTACAATCAGTTATTAAGTCAAGCTCCAGATAATTGGCTTTATATAAGTTTGTAATAGTTGTAATATGTGATCCTTCTTTATGAGGTTTGGGAATATTGTCCTGCATTCTTACTGCTTTTTGTTTTTATAATTTTTCCTTTTCTAATAATCCGGGGTGGTTTCACGACTATGAGCACGGATCATCTGTGGTAATAAAATTTCTGTTGTCCCTGTAGTAAAAACAGCAACGTTTTTTTTTTTTTTAATTTATTATGTCCTTTTTGACCTTTCCAAATGGGTTTTGCTAAGGTTACCAAACTCATTATCTAAAGAAACCTAATAAAATAATGGTTCATGCTAAACTTACCCAAATGCATTAATTCAGAGTCCGGGAAGGTCGGACTGTCCGGTTTTGGGAGGATCCTTGGTGCGAGGAACATCCATTGTGTCGACGGTTTCCAAGGTTGTTCAGGATTGTTGTGGATTGCCATGCTTTGGTTGCCGACTGCTATTGCCTTGATAGCGGTAGGTTGTTTTGGGATGTTCGGTTTCGGCGAGCCATTCAGGATTGGGAGCTGGATGATGTTACTGGCTTATTGGACCTTTTGTATGGACAGGAGGTGGATGGCACTGGGGCGGACCTTTTGACTTGGGTGCCTTCTTCGCAGGGGACTTTTCAGGTTCGGTCTTTCTTCTTCTGCCTTTCTAGTTTTCAGGCCCCCTCTTATCCATGGAAAATGGTTTGGCATTCGAAGGCTCCTCTTAGGGTTGCTTTTTTTGCTTGGGGCAAGATCCTGACTCTGGACAACTTGAGGAAGAGAAGACATGTCATTGTTAATCGGTGTTATCTGTGTATGACCGATGGAGAGTCTGTGGATCACCTTCTCTTGCACTGCCCAGTGGTCCATGACTGTTGGAGCCTTATGTTGGGTCTTTTTGGCGTTCAGTGGGTTATGCCTCGGACCTAACAAGGTCTTATTCATATTTGGAGGGGGCAAAGGGTGGGGGCTCATGTTCGCGACTTCTGGAGGGCGACTCCCCTTTGCATTTGGTGGTGCCTCTGGAAAGAACGTAATAGAAGATCCTTTGTTGGGAAGGAGTTACCCATTGGGGCTCTTAAGTATTTTATTATTTGTTCTCTTTTTAGTTGGAGTATGGGGAGAGATTGTTCTTCTGTAGAGGAGTTTTTGGACATTTTGGGGTCTTTGGATCCTTAGTGTTCTCTTTTCTCTTGCTCTTGGTTCTTGTACAGCTCTTGGGACGTGTTCCCCTCTTGAATGCTTTCTAATACAATTTTACTTATCAAAAAAAAAAAAAAAAAGATTGGTGGGGGAGTCCATAGGATCAGATTGACAATTATAAAATCCTACAAAACTAGTTGAAAATTAACTCAAACTAGCATTTAAAATTAAACTGTCTTTAAAATAAACCGAGAATAAGCCTAAAAAACATGGAGAAATAATACTGACCCATAGAGGGGAAATTGAGTTCTCTTTGTTTTGAGAAGGAAAGATTAACAGAAAATTATGAAAAACAGAGAAAATTTGAAGTTTTGAAGCATACTTTTGAAGTTCAGAGCTATCAGTTGCTAGAGGAGGGGATTAGAGGCATTGTTGTGGTTGCTGGAGCTCGTCAGAAGTTCGGACTGAGTGACCAGCTAGTCAAAACTCTTGATTGTGCTTGGCCAGAAGGAGCTGGAGCTCTCGTGAGTGTGATGGTGAGTGAATAGGATGTGCTATTACGAGCCCTAACTAAATTTCACAGTTTTCAGTCTGCTTCTGTGTGTGTGTGTGTGTGTGTGTGTTGGGCTGTAAAAGGTGGCTTATATGCTTAAAAGACCCTTTAAAACGTTAGGGTTTTGGCTCAGAATGGGCTGAGGGACTGAAGACCTGTTGATATAAATGAAATAACCCAACTTAAATGAAATTACCCGACTTAGATGCCCTAAAATCTTAGTTGCCCTTATATATATATATATATCATTTGAGGATTCAAAGCTGATGGTTCAAGCCCATTGTTTTGAAATTCACTTGTCTTTGCTGTTCTTGTCCCTTAAACATTGAAAATTCTTGTCAAGTTGATGCAATTATGTACTCACTTCCTTTCTAAGATCCATTGCGTTATCTTGTAGGATGCTACCAAATGTCTCCATAGAGGCTTGTTTATTTAACGTTTTCTAGTTGTCCTGCTTGGAAAATATAGCTTCCACTATTGGTCTCTCTAGCAGTTGAGCCAAATTGTGTTACTTGGTTTAAGAATTTGGCAAATTTTCACTTATGTTTAGTTGACAAAGTATAGGTGGAAACAAAGAGGATTGGACGTACTTCACTGGTTCAATATCAAATGGTAGTGAAATTCCAAATTTTCATTATGTCCTTTATGCTTCTCGGTAGCCAAATGGCACTTCAATCTTTTGCTTTCTTTACAAGGCTTAAACTTTTTAGTTATGTTACATGGATATAGGTACGTGTGTTGGGTGTGGGTATATAACATAGTGTTTAAGATTGGCACGTCACTTATTTTGGAGCGATAATATAACAAAATTGAATTATTGGATATGTTTTTAGGTGCATGTCCAACCAAAATCGTTGGATGCATATCTCATACACTTGCCAAGTATTGTATGTCCGACGCTGGTACTTCACCTATTTTTGAAGAGCTTGTAACATAGCTTTAACGAATCAGTTTGATTCTCAGAAATGAGGGAGAAAAGAAAACAAAAGGAAAGGAAGGAATTCATCAACTTTAATTTTGTTTCCTCGTGAAACCTCCACGTTCCCTTGTTGTGTCATAAGGAAATTGGGTTTTTTCTAAGTTATAAATACTCTCATTTTTCTGTTAATTTATTTGTTTCCTCACAGTTTTCAAAACCACAGAAGAATGGAAAATGAAAATCTCTATATATATTTTTTAATTATTTCCTCCTTGTTTCTGGGCCCAAATAATATTTGAGTGAGATACTGCAAATGTTATTTTAATTCTAAACCTTTTATCCCATGTACGTAGGAAGACAACTAATATGATATCCATTGTTAAATTTACAGAATTCCATCTTCTGTTTTTCACTTTCAGGTTGCGGACATGAGCTTTGCGTTAGATGTGCACTATACCTTTGCTCAACAAGCAACATTCCTTCTGAATTGCAGGGACCTCCTGGGTCCATTCCTTGTCCTCTTTGCCGACGTGGAATAATCTCTTTTGTCAAATTGCCTGGTTCTCCAGCAAAGGAGATCAAGCTACAGTTGTCCCTTAGCTTATGTACCCCTTGCATGCTTCACTCTCGTGAATCAGACCGTTCAGCAGCAGCTTGTACACCGGAAATTCGAAAGAATCATGCTTCTGTTTCTCCGGATCTTTTCTGCCCAGTCACTTGTAGCCCATTTCCTTCCGTTACCATCCCTTTGTGCACATGTAATGATGGACCATGCCCATCATTTGAACCAAGAGAGGTTGAAACACGAGATGAATCTCCAAATCGCTCCCAATCCACAACAGTAGACCAGGACAAAATAGGAGTAAGACTCGAGAAAACTACTTGTTCAAGCATGTTCTGGGGCAGAAGAAGCTGCAGCAGGGAGCACCAGTGCAACGCAGAAATTAATGCTTGATTAGTTTGGTGGATGATTCTTTTGTCATACCCAGGAGTGCGGAATTTCCATTACAGCACACAGTCCCAAGGAGCTTGTTGTTTGATCTCATCGTTCCCCAACACCGATATTTCCCATTACAGTACACAGTCTAAAGGAGCTTGTTTGATCCCATCGCTCCCCAACACCGATATTTTTAAAATCCGTGTTTGCATCTGTTTCTGTTTGGTTGCAAGGCGATGTATCCAGATCTGGGATTGCCGCATTTTGACCATGTTCAAATTAATATATTTAGATAGGAGGGCTTGTAAAATTGGAATGTTGGGGATATAAATTGATTGTAATTTTATGTCGTCATCTGACATTCATTGTCAATCATTTATAAATGATTATGAGAAATAGTGCTTCTGTTTCTTTAAAGTAGACAAACCATTCTAGGGCTTCAAAGTTGTTTGTTTCAGTTCTTGTTATCTATATGGGAGGACTTGAGCTTCACCTGTGATCATGCATCATTGCAGCAGCAGAAAACAATGTCAGAAGTGTCTGAACTACCGCAATGGCTAGGGTTAAGAGTTTTCCTGAACATTAAGGCAACTCAACTAGAAAGTGTCCAGGAGAAAGAAGAGAAAGGAATTGCAATGGCTCTATTGCAGGTTTTTGTGCTTCCGGAAGTTGGCCGGCTGCAATCCCAGACACCGGCTCTGGCCAGCCGTTGGGACCGAGGAAATGTTAGTAGCACCACCTTTGCTATATTGTGGAACTCTTTTCAGAGCTAGCCTAGACTGCAACTACATTGATAAAAACACAAAATTGAAGTACTCTTCTTCTTCATGAATTGCCTTTCTGGGACCCAGATAGTTAAAAGTAAAGTGTGAGGTTCTGTTGAATGACAATGTCCTCATTGATGATTATCACAAATGTAGGATGCTAAATGGACGGCCCTGAGGAAGAGTTGGAATTCTGTATACATTAAACGAATCCTAGCGCTCTCTCTCTCTCTCTCTCTCTCTCTCTCTCTCTCTCGCGCGCGCACACGCGTGTTTTGTGCACATGTGCAAGCGTTAAGATTCGTCTAATACCACCACAGCAGAGGATTCCCTCCGGTCCCTGTCCCTTAACGATCCCTGATTCCGAAATTCTCTGCCGCAATTCTCCCACTCCACTGCAGTGGTTCTGTACACCTTTTAGTCAATAAATGTTCCGTTACCTCAGTCAATATAGAAATCCTTAAAACCTGTTTGTGTTATTTTGGTTGACAAGGAGAATTGGGACCACCACATATAACAATACGAGAACAAGCTTAATGGCTTAATCACAAGACACGATCAGTACAGACAGCCATGATACGATCTTTATCCTATAACCAAATCAGATCCTTAAAGACACCTAAAACATAGATGGGGGACCCTCCAAGTCCCGAAACCTAAGTACAGAAAAACAGTACTACCCAACACAAACACCATACACAGTAGGACAACTGGACAAGTACAGTACGACCCAAACTTAAAAGCCACATGACAAACCCTTAAAAACTGCTGGCAATTTGAAGCACACTCTCTCTCTTGTTTCTCTCTCATCTTCTTCTTGCAGCTGTTTCTCTCTGTGCATTGAAGTACACTGCAGCAACAGGGTGTCCTAGGCTGTTCTCTTCTGAGAAGCCCTTTGTGTTGAACTGGTCTCTTGAAGCTGGCGGCCTCACTGTTTGTCTTGCTCTCTGCTTGAACAAGATGAACACGTAACGGTGGATTCCAATCACTGGCTTTGGAGTCTCGTAGCTCACTATTTCTCTTCCTGTGATTTTGGATTTAAATTAAAACCCATTAAGTGAACGTTGTTAATTTCATGCCAAAATGCATCACTCTATTACAAATAGCTATATGTATGTATATATGTATATAGATTTATAATATTTTGATTATTAACACTGGAGGAGGGCCTTGGTGCAACAGTAAAGTTACTGCGTACATCTGACTCTGTACCCGCAACAAATCTCATACACGGGCTAAGCTCTTATTTGGTTATTAACAAAGAGATATTTATTCAAGGTTTAGGAACTCACCAAAGGAAGCATCAGTGGTACCTGGAATGTCAGTGACAATCCTGAAAGATAAAAGGGTTTTTACATTACATATATGTTAGAGATGCCCGGCCATTAAAGAAAATGCACTATTAAATTAATTCACAAGATGTTTGATGAGTTGGGTTAGTGATACAAACCAGTGGAGATGTTCCCTTAGGTATGGATCACTAGGGCTTGGAGCATCCGGGTCCGTCATGATCTTCAAAGACAGTAACAAAAATCTTCAGTCACACACACACACACACACACACACACACACACACACATATATATATATATATTTATATAAATTGACAGAAGAGAGAGAGACAGTAGCTCGAATGGTGCAGTTTAGGTAGTGAAACTTACTAGTGTATAAGAAGCCCTCATATCTTCACCGCCGATCTCGACACGAGGTCTAGCAGCAGTGACAGCAGGCATGAACTCATGGCCATTATTAACTTGCCTGTTGGAGTAAGTTATGGTCATTTTCACACTTGGGGTGAAAGAGTCCACTACCTCTCCTACCACTCTCCCTACTATAAGTGGTTCTATGAGCCTCGACATTACGATAAAAATAGAGAGAGAGAGAGAGAGAGAGAGAGAGAGGGGTATAGATAGATAGGCTTTGAAGTAGTTCTTGTTTGATGGGTGAGAATGAATGTAAGAGATTTTTATAGACAGAAGAAAGAAATTAATGGAAGTGGAGGGCTTGGCTTAACCTCAAAGAATAAGGAACACAAAACACATATGCAAAAGGTTGTATATATACGGAAAAAGCATGTTTGAAAAGCTCAAAACTTAGATGTCATCGATCTACAAAGATTAAAAGAGAAGCCACTAGATAGACGGATTGGTGAGGTTTTGCTCAAGAAAGATCCCTTCAAAAGTTCAAAACCTTTTATAAAATATTTGTATATATCTCGATCCATGTGTGTAGAATCTATATATATGATGTCTTTGGCTCATTGGACGAATGGGAATGAAGAATACAACTTTTTTCACTTTAATATTGTATCTTTTGGCAAATGGGAATTCAGCTTTTATGGTGTGCTCCTCATTGCACATGCTTTCTTGCATTAAAATAAATAGAAAAATACCTTATCCACAAGCTTTGGAAATGTGTATCTGTACTAAATAATTCACTCAACAGATCTATATTATCTTACTAAAAATGCTACTACTTAAAATTACTTAAAATGGGGTAATAAGGCATAAAATACAAATTCTAGATACATTATATATGTTATTGAAGATTGTGAAAGTGAATCAAAAGTTTCCTAATATGAAACTGGATATGCATGTCTCAACTTTGAAAGAATAAAACAATGTAAAACATGGCTTCCAAACCATCCATCAAACCGTGTGCTCTAGAAGACTACCTTACTACCTATTGTTCTCTCTCTCTCTCTCTCTATCTCTCGATCGAATTACAAAAGTATCCATTGTAATTAGCATGCAAGTAGGTTTTGTTAATTCACTAGTGTTACTAATTAGTGCGTACTAGAGCTTAACTGTGTGTGTAATATATATAAGTAATGATAATTTAAAGATGATAATTTGAAGATGCCTAAGTAATGGGTGTTGTGTGAGTGGGGCGTGGGGCCCTACTACATGACGTGCATTCATTCACATACTAATCATTCTGTATTTTTTGAATTTAAAAGATGTATTATTACTCATGTGGTGTATTCCCAAGTCCTTATTTTAACGGTGTACATTAATTTTCTTGATCTAATACGTATCAAAGTTCTTTGCTTCACGGTTTCTAATTGTGTACATAATTTTTGCATCTTAATCGATCATTTATTAGTGATTCTCTTATTAGGAAGCCGTAAAAGTGTTACAAGTCAATACAAAAGATATAAAGCAAAAATTAGTATGATCAAAAGTGTTACCAGAAGAGAACAAATTGCATACTTAGAGCATCTCCAATGGTAAAATGCTAAATTCGGATGCCAAATTTATATTTTGACAGTGTTACAGTGTCAAAATGCTACATTTTAGCAATTCTGCTCCAATGATGCATTTTATGCAAAATGTTATTTTTTGACACAACCACTATTCTTTTCAACTACCATTCCCACCATTAATATTTGCATCAGTAATTTTAATATTAGGTACATTCCAAATCAAGTTGTAGATATTAGAAGTAAACTAACATTAAACTTAATTAAAAAGAATAAAAAATCTAAATTACCTGGTCAAAAAATGACCCAAATATATATATATATATATATATATATATATATAAATTTATATATTTGATTATATTATTAAATAAATTTTTTTATATAATTTTTTTTTTCTTTTTCAAAATTTTTTATATTATATATATATGTGTGTGTGTATATTATATATATTTAATTATATTATTATTATATATATATATATATATATATATATATAGGGCAAATCATTTTAGCCTCCCCAATCGCCTCCATCTCTATCGTTCTCAACTTTGAAATTGCGCAACCCCCCCCCCCCCCCCTCTCTGCAACTGCAAACTACAAAATCAACAAAAATCAGAAGTTCGAAACCCATATTTTTCAGTTTCCATCGCCCGCTGTTCCAGTTTGGGTTCGCCGTTCGCAAGCTTTAGCCGCTGTCTCTTAACTCTCAAGCTTGCCCCCTCTCTCTCTGTGTAATTGCTAACTTGTACGTATGGGTTTTGTTTTAATTTTTTTTTTTAAATCAACTAATCAAGGCCTGTAATTCTTGTTTTGCATCTTATTTGGTGAAATTTTTTATGATCTTTTTTAAATATATGTGTGTGTATATATATATATCCCCCTCCCCCATGCTCTTTTTTTTGAAACAACAGTAGCCATTTCTTGTGTTAGATTTGGCACCGAAAATAACAAAGCCAAATTTTAACAGGTAATATAATATGCTATTGAAGATCACAATTTTAACTCACCTATTATATTTTGAACTGACAACTCACATGACAGGTTAGTTGGCGATGCTCTTAACATAGTAACAACAAAATACCATCTGGCAAACAAAGAAAAGAAAAAGGAAAGGGTGGGAATTTTCTTGCACAATATTTTAAATAAAACATCACTTCTGGCCGTAAAATTTGCCAAGTGTCCGTTTAAACGACAATGAATATAAGGAATGGAATAGACATGTAAGCAAACTTATAGAGAATTAAATCAGTGGCAACCAATGCTTCTTAAGAATCTCAAAACAATACTCTCAGCTGATGTGATGGGTATATAGGGCCACATATACACATGTTTATGTGTGTGTGTATATATGATGTTGTGTCTAACGCTGTGAATGCCAGGTTTTGAGCATATCTTTAACGTTTATTGAAAGAAAATAACCAAAAAAAAATTCTACCACTAGTTTGATTGGTGCATGTATCAATGAGTGATATATATATATATATATGGAACAACCTGTCTTGGCTTGACACGTCTTTGATTTAGAAAGTAGAATAATACAAAGAAAACATTTTCTTTGCTGCATAATATGAATATATATTCCCCAACTGTTATTCTCCTTCCTAAATCCTTCCAGCACAATTTAAGGCAACTCTGCTGTGATTTTGACACCTTCACACGTACGTCTCGTACCTTTACGCGCTTATTATATTAAATATTTTCAGTCAAATTAGCTATGTGTCATCCTCTTGGACGTAGAATCAAGCTTACTACTACTACTAGTATAGACTATAGATATAGCATCTCAGCTGCCTCCAAAGGTATAATTTTTCCTTTTTCTTCTTTTTGTCCTTTACAAAGAAGACTTCCCTGAACAACTCAACAATACATGCATGTGTGTATATCTATACATATATTACTAAGATTCTAAGAAAAATGATTTGCCATTCAAAAATAGATCGAGAGCCAAATGTTAGCCGAAGCGTTCAACATGTACGGAATGTTTTGAAGTGAGATTTTGGTGAAGTTCAAGTCAATGCATCAAATGAATATTAAATATTTTTCCTTTCATTCACTTCAGTTGCTTTGATAAAATGATATTGATGATATCTTGTGATATATTCTATTCTTAGAATTGTGATAAATAGGCCATCACAAACAAATATGAAAATTTTAACAAAGAGGCTTATAAAGTAAGAAAATACCTCATTACTATTAAAAAATAATTAATAATAAAGTTAAAAAAAGGAAAAATTACATATAAATGAAGTCAAAGTTCCATATTTATTTAGAGACTGAGTCAAAGTTTCATATTTCTCTAAAATGAATTGCTAAGGTGGCACATGGTTTTTTACTGTTTAAAAAATTGTGGTACCTAAAATGTCATTCCCTAACAAAAAAGTAGTACCTTCAGTTCAAAAAAGTAGTACCTTCAGTTCAAAAAAGTAGTACCTTCGGAGAAAAAGTAGTACCTTCGCGGATGTTTAAAAAACATGGTACCTGGACGCCAAAAAGTAGTACCTTTAGTTCAAAAAAGTAGTACCTTCGAAGAAAAAGTAATATCTTCGCGGAAGGGTATTTTAGGCACCACAATTTCTAAACAGTAAAAAATCATGTGCCACCTCAGCAATCCATTTTAGAGAAATATGGAACTTTGACTTAGCCTCTAAGTAAATATGGAACTTTGACTCCATTTATATGTAATTTTCCCTTAAAAAATACCTATCATCAGCTTAGTGTAGTTGTTACAAGACAGAATTAGAAGTGAAATTGATAATATGTGTGATATTCAACGTTAGGAGTGGCAATTTAACACTATTCAATAACTTAAAATTTTAAATTAGTATCAGGACTTAATTCTTAATTTACCTAGTAATATAAAAAATTCCTTGAAATAGAAACTTAATGTTATAAAATTGACAAAGAAAGAAAGAACAGACTAAATATATAAAATGTTTGATAGAGGAACACAATAAGATCATTAGAGACTAAGAAGCTGTTATTGTTTTTTGTTCTTTGGATACACAAATGCATAACGTACATCTCATATATATGTACATATAAAATTATATACACATACCATGGTTTGCAGTTGTGGTATGAGTTTTGGTAACGGTTGCGATTGCGGTGTAACGGACTCGGACGAATATCAGTGTAAACCTATCGAACCAGCCGGTTCATGGGAGCGTTTAACAGTATCAGTCCCTTGAAAAAGGGTTACGAATTGGACGATACGTAGCGTATCAGGCGATATGACAAATCACGATACACACAACACATGGTTTCACCTTGCTATCTCACACAGATACAGATATGGGACATGGGTACGATAAGATACAGACACGGGAATATAACAAAACTAAAAAAAACAGTATACGGGTGCAGCGGGACACGACATTTTAAAAAATAAATAAAAATTAATTTTCTATATACAAAAAATTAAAAACCTTTTTATCGGTTTCTTGTAATTGCACTAAATTAACATGTTTCTAAATACATAAACAAGTAAAGTAATTAAACAAGGAGAAATTCAAACAGAGTAAGAGTAAGAAAAACATAAAAAAAGAAAAACACTAACTCTAAAATCTTAATAACCAAAAGAATGAAAAAAAAAAAAGAAAAAAAAAAAAAAAAAAAGGAGGAGCAATTAAGCATATTGTGGCAAATCTGAGATCAATTGGCAAATTGAGGTGTTTTAAATGCAGTTTGTTTTATTCTAATTTGACCTCCATTTTTTTACCTACAAATTTTTAAATATTACAATATGAACCCCGTGTTTTAAATGTAGTTTTGTTTTATTATAACTTGACTCCATTTTTAACCTATAACTTTTTAAATATTACATTATGAACGCCGCCGTATCCTAAAAGTATCTAAGGCGTATCCCAGCAATATCCGAAATTAAAAATTTATTTTAAATAATTGGATATTTCTACGCAGTATTGGACACGCGTCCGGGCGTATCTAAAGAATATCAGGACTGGACACATGTTCGATACCGTCACGACGCCTCCGGAGAAGTATCAGTGCTTCCTAGGTCTCTTCATATCATTGTTTTGTCACAATTTTAATCTGACAGTGTGGAAATTTGGTACCTAACTATACATATATTCATATTACATTTTTACAAATTTTCCACATGTATAAATGGAGTGGAACCCATATCTCCAACACTTTATATATATATATATATATATATATATATACTAGTAAAAAACACGTGCGATGCACATGATGAATGTTTTCTAACTTATATAATTTATATTTTCATATATTTTTTAATTATTTATAGTTTTATAAAAAAAATAAAAAAATAGGCAAAACAGTTTCAGGCCCAGAATGCCTTAAAGAGTAATAATTGTCACCTCAAAAGAAACAAAATAAGATTTTCCATTGATAAATGAATGAAAACTATAAACATTTAAAAAATATATGAAAATAAAATTTTATAATTTACAAAACATTCATAAATAAATACTATATAAAAATTCTATATATTATAAAATCAGAAAGGGTACTAACAATTTTTAGATTGTAATAATTGTCACCTCAAAAGAAACAGAATATATTAGAAAATCTAAAACTATAACTATTTGAAAATAAAAGTATTCCTAAATTATTTATTTCTCAATCTTTATTTTTTTTGCATATCTCATTTCTTCATGAAATGAATCATTGTCAAGTGTCAATTCGTTTAATTCTTCCACCGCAAAATAAGTTTTCACGACTTATTGTTGAGTATTGTCTATCTTCACCAGAAAAAGAAAAGATTTTCCTTTGCAGCTTGTCACTTTGTTGCTGAATTCATTCATGTCCTGCAAAAAGAACAAATATAATTTAGAGCTATTGAGAATTTCAAGTAAATATATATTTTTTAATTAAATTAAATTTTATGAATAAGGGTGAAAAATTACCTCAATTTGTAATTATAGTAAATCATCTAGTGAACAATTTATTAATGTTTGGCAATCATTGAACACTGTTAGGGTTGCAAGTGTGAAGAAAGGTTAGCCAAAAGGCCGAGAAAGGTGTGATTATTATTTCTTTAGGCCTATAGTTTTATAAAAGGTTTCCATGTACTCCTTTATAACTTAAAACCAATGTGGGACAAGAAAAATGAATTTTATTAAGTAATTTTTAATTTGAATTAAATTCTTTAAATTAATTTTTATAAATTTTATTAGGTAATTTGTAATTTGAATCAAACTATTTAAATAATTTTTACGTAATTTTCTGTTTATAAAAACTCTTTTTTTTATATTAATAAATAAATACTGAAATAGTTTCATATTAGGTAATTTGTAATTTGAATTAAAATCTTTTTTTATATATTAATAAATAAATACTACATTTGTTCTTAGCCAAAAGGCCGAGAAAGGTTAGCCAAAAGGTCAAGAAAGGTGTGATTAATATTTGTAATTTGAATTAAACTGTTTAAATAATTTTTAAGTAATTTTTTGTTTATAAAAATTCTTTTTTCATATTAATAAATAAATACTGAAATACTAAGGTTGAGAGAGTAGTACTACACTTGATCTTAGCCAAAAGGCTGAGAAAGGTTAGTCAAAAGGCCGACACAAAAAATTTTAGTACTTCACTTGATCTTAGCCAAAAGATCGAGAAATTTGTGTGTGGCAAAGGAAAGCAGTCGACCTGGAATATTGAGACCTCGTAGCTAGCCAAGAAAGGTGTGATTATTATTTCTCTAGGTCTAAAAATGAATTTTATTAGGTAATTTGTAATTTGAATTAAACTCTTTAAATAATTTTTAGGTAATTTTTTGTTTATAAAAACTCTTTTTTTATATTAATAAATAAATACTGAAACGCTGAAATACTAAGGCCGAGAAAGTAGTATTACAGTTGATCTTAACAAAAAAGCCAAGAAAGGTTAGCCAAAAGGCCGACCCAAAAAAATTTAGTACTTCACTTGATCTTAGCCAAAAGGCCGAGAAAGTAATATTACACTTGATCTTAGCCAAAAGGTTGAGAAATGTGTAATTATTATTTCTTTAGGTCTATAGTTTTATAAGAGAATCTCATGTAATCTTTTTAATTTAAAACCAATGTGGGACAAGAAAAATGAATTTTATTAGGTAATTTGTAATTTGAATTAAACTCTTTAAATTAATTTTTATAAATTTTATTAGGTAATTTGTAATTTAAATTAAATTCTTTAAATAATTTTTAGGTAATTTTTTTCTCTTTTTATATATTAATAAATGAATACTAAAATATTAAAATACTGAAAAACTGAAACTCTTAAAACATTTAATAATAGTATAGATATAGATATAGATATAGATATATCAGAAGGTAATAAAGACCAATATTGGACATGAGCCCATCTCAAAGTTCAGTGGGAAATATATGAACTAGGCTTACATTAACGAACTCTAATGTGTCTGGCCCGAGCTTAAGCCTTGCTACTTATCAAATGGGTTGGGCTGGGATCTCTTCAACCCGAACCATGTACATAATTTTCCCAATTACCGACCCAACTTGTTATTATGGACAGAGATAGGGTCTGAACGTATGGAATCAACTAGTGACTGATCAACAAGTGACCAGGTAAACGACATCAGTAGGGCAGTCACAATTACTGACCCAACTTGTTATTAAGTTTAGTGTTTGCAAATCCAGTTATTCATAAATAATTTAACAAAGAGGAATATAAAGTTAGAAAATACCCCACATCTCCTTTGTTTCTCTCGGAGCTGAAGGAGATATTGAAGCTATCCATTTACAGAGTTGTAATCCAAAATGGTCATGAGAGTCACAAGAAATGTGAGCTCTTTTTGTTTAATCACATGGTGACATAGATTTTTTAAAAGGAATTTTTACATAAGTGTACTTATGGATCTATATTTATTAAAAGATGAAGTCAAAGTATTGAAGTTTCTTAAAAATGAAATTGACTGAATTACTGATGTGGACATGAACTTTCACAGTTCATTATACTTTGTTGCCTAAAATACCCTTTTACTATTTAAATCAAATTACTTCACTACCCCCATTTCATTTATCCATATATATTTATTTATCACACAACTCAATTCACAATATCTATAGACTTGTGTGGATGTAGGTTATGCCACGTCACTTATATATTCAAACTACGCTGACTACAAGCAAGAACAAGACAAATGTTTTAACACTTGCTCGATACACAAGAACTAGCCAGCTCAGCACTAGCAGCCCCAAACCCACAAACTGTCGATCGATGGCCCCAGCCAGAACCTCGATCCGACCAAGTCATAAACTGTCGATCGATGGGCCTAGAACCTCGATTCGACTAAGTCACAAACCGTTGATCGATGGCCCTAGAACCTCAATCTGACCAAGCCATGAAATGTTAATCGACGAACCTAGAATACCGATCCGACCAAGCCACGAAATGTCAATCGACGAGCCTAGAACCTCGATTCAACCAAGCCACGAAATGTCAATCGATGGGCCTAGAACCTCAATCCGACTAAGCCACGAAATGTCGATCGATGGCCTAGAACCTTGTTCCGACCAAGCTACAAAACTGGCGATCGATGGGTTTAAAACCTCGATCCGACCAAGCCACTAAACTGTCGATCGATGAGCCTAGAATCTCGATCCGACCAAGCCACAAATTATTAATCCATGGGCTAAGAACCTCAATCCAAGTTATGGCCGGTCGATCGATGGCCCAGACCCTCGACATAACACGCTGAATGAGGGAACTCACGACGAAGAGTTGTGGTAAGACTCTTTGAGACCATTGGGAATGCTGAAGGGATTTTGGAATGGAGGATGGAGAATCATCTTTGCGCTCTGCCAAGGCAGACCCAATCCCAGGAGAAAAAGCGAAAGACAGGCTGTAGTAAGCACAGAGACCCTTACAACCACGCTCTATTTACGTATACCTGGCAGCATGCCCGGGAAAGTCGGAATTAGGACATCATGATCCGTAAGTGATGAGCACTGAAAAGTGCACATTTAAACCCGTTAAGCTTAAGCATTCTAGTACCTTTATCTATCTTACTTTACCGTTTTAGACTTATTACGTGTTATTTATATTTTCAGGCACTAATCCCAAAATTGAGCTAACTCAGCCAAATAAGAGCTTAATTAAAGCAATCCTGAGATAAACCAAAGGAGGGAGCAAAGTGGAGAAAGAAAGGAGCAAAAAGGAATCAAAGTTGTGCAGCTAAAAAGTTCGATCGATCCAGCTTAGAGTTCGATCGATCGAACATCTATGATCGATCACAGTACTTCTCGATAGATCCAACCTTGGCCTTTGCTGAAATTCCAAGTTCGATCGATCCAACATCACCTTCGATCGATCGAACCCTATCTTGTCCTATTCAAATGATTGATCTTATCCACAGCTGTACGCCTACCAACAACTTTTGTCCTTTTTCCCATAAATATCTTCGAAATATCTCAGCCTTGTCCTTATCCGGAGGAGTCAGTCCACTTCGATCGATCCAAGATGCAGTTCGATCGATCGAACCCATCTTCGATCGATCCAAGTTAAGGTTCGATCGATCGAACTTCCTCCAGCGAGAAAAAGTTAAAGTCCAGCTCATTTATTCCGTCCTTCACCCAATCATTGGAGAATATGCCTTGCACGACCACAGCTCATCATAGGGTGTATTTGACCTACCTATATAAGGAATATGATACACTTTTTGGAGAGGAGCCTAGAGTCTCTTGTCACACATTGAAAATCATCTTGGAGGCTATTCTTGGAGAGGAGGAAGGGGGGAAGCTAGAGCACCATTGGAGGAAATCTTCACCAACAAGGAGCAGCCATGGAGTTAGCCCTTGAGGGTTGGATCATCACTACCATGAGTGTCTAGACATCCTCTTGGGGCTAGAGTTAGCCCCAAGCATGCTTTCTATACTCTAATCTTGTGTATTATTGAGGGATTAGTGTTGTATGATACATCTTGATATTCATGTATATATAAATCTTGATTATTTCATGGTTTGTATGGTTTAATGCTTCCAATTGACTATTCTATGCTACCCATATGTCTATGTATGCTAAAGTAGGATATTCATGTGCTTATCTCTAGATTTAGTGTTTTTGATGCATGTCTATGTGTATTGATGCTATAGATCTAGAGATTATCAAGATGATATGCTTAATGAATGCTATTTTGGTTCATTTGATGGTTTATGCCTATTCTTGATGGCTTGTGCCTCTCCCCTAGTCTAGATAGCTTTATTTTCATGCTAGTAGTGTAGATTTAGTGTAGTGGTAGTATAATGTTAGATGGGAGGACAATCTACTCTTGATGTTTGATATTCCATGCTTGTGAGACCAAATGGCATATTCCTCTAATATTGTGTTGTATGTGGATTGTGAGCTTAATGAAGGATTAATGACTAGTTATGATATGTTGTATCTTTCACATGTGTTTAGACAATTTATTCCTCTCCCAATAGATAAATTATGGCCTCTCACATGATGTTTAGATAATGCATGTTTAACTAAGTCATCCTTATGGATTGCTTGGACTATGAGCTTAATGAAATGTTCAATGACTTGATTTGATATTTTGTTCTCTTCACATGATGTCTAGACAATATATTCCTCTACCAATAGATGTATTGTGGCCTCACACATGTTGATTGAGACAATTTGCACTTGTTGAGTCACCCTTACCAATTGAATGTCTTTTATACACACAATATTGTTGCAACACATTCATTTCCCTCATTAGTCACTTGATTATGGTTTGGAATAGTATTGTTTGGTGGTGATCTCTACACCCCAAGACCTTTCCTTCTTACTTACTCTTTATCTTAATGCATTTTAATTAATTCTTTTCTAG